TTCAGTAGCCAGAAGTGAAAATTCCAAAGAACACAGTTCACTGACCACTGTGGTACATTTTCTATTGTGTGAAATGGACTGTTTGTTTGAGATCCACACCTATGTGCATATATGGTTGGTTCAAACACACATGTGGTCACGCCACCGAATACGTGTGAATGACCATCATTCCTACAAGTAATAATTCCAATTAATAATTCGGTTCAGTAATATTTGAAATATATACTAGGTGGTGGTGGAATAATGTCAGTAAGCACATTTCACATGATGTGTCATCCCAGGAACCAGTATTGTTTGCATTTGTCGAAAACGCGCGTAACCACTGAAGGCGGCGTCACATGTGGTCCACGCGGTAGGCTATTCACAAATGCATCGACTCACAGTCTGAACCACAAATACACTCAACACAGATCCGTATAATCAGGGAAAGAAAGATCAATGTTCACAACATCCTCAACTCGATGTGAGCGTGTGTCGCCACTAACTACCTGATGTTTGAGATGACGTCGTTGTAAGTGACTACGAAAATTGTAGAACCAATCGTAGTAAGTCTTTCGATCTCACTCACAATTGGTGAGAATGGAGGTGACTTGATTGGTGTGATTGAAACTGCACAGCTGTGGTGATTCGCTTCACTATACTCTACTCCTCTCAATTCACACACATGCATGCATGTCACATGTGTCTCCCTGTCTCATATGATATGTCATCATGGTTGAGTGAGTGAGTGTGTTTGTGCGCTCAGCAAAATACTGTATAAATACGGTGGAGTGACGATGATCGTGTATGACAGTGTGATAATCAGTCTCCAGAGAAGTGAGAATGCAGTCGAAGTGTCTACGAAATAGATTGGCCATCGGTGTCGTCATCTTCGTCATCCAATTGATCACAGTGTTTGCAGCTGTGGCACACGATACTCTCGCGATTGATAAACGTGAGTGATTCAAGCTGAAGTAGCTGACTGAGTGTTTGTGATATGAATTTGCTATGTGTGAAATGCTCTCAATGTCTTTTGTGTCTTCCATTTTACCACTAGGTCAGAAGGAGCCGTTTCGATATGGAAGGTAGTCAGCGAGCCTGAGTTTCGCAACAGGTGTGTTGGTATTGCATGCAATCCGAAGGATTTGAACATTGGTTGTGATTACGTTGTATTCTGTGATATTATAGTAATAAACATATATACTCGTCTATTAACCTTGTTTTGCATACCGACGTTTGCTCTCCGATATTGAGTTGACAAGTAGTGGATGTGAAAATTCCATGGTCTGACACCATAATGGATATATCCCCGACCTTCGATGAAGTGTCTCTTTGACAACTATGATATCATATATATATTATATAGTAGTGTTAGAAAATAGAGGTGTATCTTCAAATACTGTCGGTTTATTTCATTAGTTTACGTATTGCTTATCCGTTTTCTCTGCGCTAATTTTCCGTTTAAAGCAGTCCTGAAATTTCCAGTATTTCTCACCACGCTGACACTTGACATTGGCTGCATTTCAGCGTCGTCTGAATGACATAAAAATGAATGTGGTATCTAGCTTCTTCTAAATTCGTTGAGATTAAACGTCTTCACTTAAGCCTTGCTGAAATTGGCGGTGAAACTGCATAATCATCAGGTACAGTCAGTATGTTAGTCGGAATCTACCTGAAGCTGTTGATGCATATGAAGTGAGCAGAACGGTGACTAACTCTGAAGCTGTCAACGACACAACATTATTCACCGGCCCACAATTTGGCTGAATAAGCACGTGTGAACTGAGATGAATCGGAAACGCTACCATATGAACGAGAATAAATCAGACAGTGCTCACATGCTTCAGCGTTTAGAATTAAGATCAACGTGTAGAGTTTATTGCAGCGGCGTTCCAAATTATTAAAATACAAGTTGCACTTATCATGATATTCAGTCACATCTATCGACTTCATTGCACAGAAGGCGTATAATAATGCAAAAATGCACCACACACTTATCTCACTTCATTGGCTAATCAGTTATTCATCACGATGTTCAAATACACATATGTCGGAAAATCTGTTCACTCTCAACTGTCATTAGGACGGAAGAAGCCGAGCAGTATTATATGATTGTAAGTGGAGGCCAACGAATCAGTTTCTGTTGATTTGCGCTGCTGTAAAAAGTGAACCATATTTTATCGACTATTTTATTCTGGATATCAAGGTGAATATTCTGCCAGGATTGATTCGAAGTTGATCTCCACAGGAAGAACAATGAAGGTTTTCAGAATGCTTCCTATTTGAACGCAGTTATATATGTGTTTGTAAATATTGGAGGTACTGGTGTCTTCTCTCTGCTGTCACGGAACACGACGAGGTGTAATGTTCCGTGAACTGTGAGATATTTAGTCTCCGACACAATAGTACTCGTCATTGCATCAGCTATTTCTCCTACCTGTCGTTCTGCTGTTCATACCCATCATCAGGTGTTATACAGAGATGAACTAGTGTTGACGTCGGACATGAATGCCGTTCTACTCATTCGGTGTGTATTCACCAAATGAAAACATGTGACGTACACATATTCAACATGTTGTGGATGAGCATTATTCACTCACTGACTTGCAAAACACAAGATATTACTCATTCTCTGTACGCCTTAGTAATACGTTCATTGAAGTACTGCTCACGTGTATTTGTCTCGATGAGTCGTTAGGTGAGGCAGAGGTGGAGAGAGATAGAGATAAATAAGAATGTGTGTGTGTGATGAAGGGAAATATGTGTGACGTGCATGGAATCATCCACTTGTAGAATGAACTGACTACTTCCTGTGTACTCAATGTTTCCTGTTCTACGAGAAATACGTAATGATTACAGAGGTTTATTTTGTGATCTTGTTTGTGATTGTATGACGACATTGATTTCAGCTACGTAGTATTGTATTGTGGCAGTTGCAAAATCTGCTAGTCATTCAGTGGTGAAATGATGAATGCTTTACGTTGAAAAGTGGATGGGGAACATCGGACAGTCTCTGTTCGTTTTGTTGTTTTGTATACCGACGTTTGCTCTCCGATATTGAGTTGACAAGTAGTGGATGTGAAAATTCAGTGGTATTATACAGCAGTAGCTATATTCTCGACCGTCGATGTAGGGTCTGAGTGACAAGCGTGATTTTACATGTCTTGGATATGTTGTGCTGTTGTTCTGGGTGTAATCGGAGCGAGATCTGAAATCCGTGGCAGTTTTGTTGGATTGTGGGTTGTATTAGCAGACCCTTTAGAAGAATTGAGTGCTGTCGAAATTTTCAGCGCAATATATCGACTAATTTGACAGGAAATCATCGCGTACTGGGAGCGATCTCCACACGATTACTCAATGAGATCTCATGCGCCGAATTATCGCAATGATTTCAGTGCATAGTTGCATAGATGATATTTCGCGAGTGCGAGCGTTTCTCACTCCTCTGAAATTTCACATTGACTGCATTTCAGCGTGATCGGAATGACATTACAATGAATATGGCATCCAGCTTTGTCCAACACTGTTGAGATGGCATAGCGTCACTGAAGCCTAGATGAAATAGGCGGTGAAACTGCATGATATTCAGGAATAGGCATGCGGCAACTAACTGTGAAGGTGTCGACGACACGACATCATTCACTCGCTCACAATTAGGCTAAATGAGCCTTAAGGTGAACTGAGGTGACCCTTGGTGGCTTTTATATGACGGAGAAAAAATAAGACATTGTTCAATTGCGACAGTTTCCACAATTCTGTCTGTCTGTCTGTCTGGATTCAACATAGAACTTGGTACCCAAGTGCAGCACTTCGAGTTCCCACGTTCCGAATCGCACACAGAGGTAGACAAGAAGATGAGTGAAGAGAATCAATAGAGTTTGACATGTTTAAGAGTGAAAAAGAATGGCTAATGGTAGAAAGGAATATGAAAGATTACAGAGACTGAATACATCTGCGCTGGCCATTGACAACGATTTTGAGCCATGTCACCTATTGTCTCCAGCCATTGATTCCCAGAGTCCCGAAGGCCCCAACCCCTACCTTACTCAGTTTAACTGTCAAGGATTTCATGGATTGATGCCATGTTTCTGTTTGGCCACCACTGGCTCTTTTCCAACCTGCACCTATATCAGCTAGCAATGCCCGTCAGGGGAGGCGAGGCGATGGTTAGGCATGCGCACCACGTGACCTAGCCATCTCAATCTATGTAACTTTATAGCCTCGTCGATTGATTTTCCCTCTTTGCCCAACACTCGACGCCTAACGTCAACATTACTTATCTTGTGAAACCACCTAACGTGAGACAGAGATCGCAGACATCTATGATCGAAAGCAGTCAACCTTTTCATGTCTTCAACGCGTATTGGCCATATTTCAGAGCCATAGAGAAGGACGGAGTGAACTGCTGAGCAGTACACACGTCCCTTGGTTGATAACCGGATGTCACGCCTACGCCAGAGATGGTGTAAGTCAGCGAAAGCAGCTCGAGCTTTTCGGATCCGTGCTGAGATTTCATCGCCAATCAGTCCGTTGGTGCTATTACAAATTCCCAGATAGGTGAAGTGGTCAACATGTTCTATCACTTCACTCCCTATCACTAAGTTAGGAGTTGACGTGGTCCAGTCCTGTAGCAGCATCTTACATTTTGCAGGGGCGAATCGCATGCCAAACATACGAAGATTGCTGCTCAAGGTGTTCAGAAGACTCTGCATTTTGTCACCATCCTCCCCTAACAGGACTATGTCATCTGCATATTCTAAGTCCGTAAGACTATTCCCTGGTAACAAGTCGATTCCTAAGTCATTACGATCAGTTAAGGATACTTCCATTAGCATATCTATGATGAAGTTAAACAGAAATGGGGAAAGTGGACATCCCTGTCGGACACCACTGGTTGTTATCAATTCAGATGACAATTCCCCATAAGCCCTTACACGACTACGTGAGTTTGAATAGAGTGCCTTGATTAGTGCAATGTACTTTCTTGGCACTCCCTTCACAGTCAAACATTGCCATAGTACCTTTCGATCCACGGAGTCGAAGGCCACCTTCAAGTCAAGAAATATGACAATTGTTGGACGCCGAAAAGTGTGTCTATGTTCTTGAATCTGTCGAAGAGTGAAGATATGATCTATGCACCCTCTACCTGGTCTAAAGCCTGCTTGATTTTCCCTTGTCTGTTCCTCCCGAGTTCTGCTTAGTCTATGCATGATCACTGAGCCTAGGATTTTAGAGACTATGTTCGTTAGGCTGATCCCCCTATGATTATCACACGAGGACTTGTTTCCCTTCTTGAATATCGGTATAATAAGTGACTTACCCCAGTCGGATGGCACTGTCTCTGATTCCCACACTTTGCCTAGTACCTCAGTTATTCTACAAACTAGTATGTCACCCCCATATTTAAACACCTCCGGAATAATTCCGTCGGGTCCTGCCGCTTTGCCTCGTTTCAAATTACTGATAGCTTTTGTAACCTCACCTACAGACGGCGGACCAGTGTCTATATCGCATTAGGGTGTGTGCTGGATGTCAAGGAGGTTCAGTGTGGCTGCAGGCAAGTTAAATTGTCCCTCAAAGTGTTCTTTCCAGCGTCCAAGGCGTCTATCCTGAGAGCTAATTAAGGAGCCATTTTTCTCAGAAATAATCTCACTTATGATTTGCCTTCTCCAACCCGTTTCCATGATTAGTCTAAAGAGTTGTCTAGTGTCGCCTATCGCCGATGCGTTTTCCATCTCTTTTGCCTTTGTCACCCACCACTGTTCACGGTCCTTGCGGAGACTTTTAGTAAGTTTCCTTTTGTGCAGCTTTCGCTCCTCATTGAATTCGGAGCTCGCCGGAATAAGTATTCTAGCATCTATCAGTTCGGATGAGGCAGTCAAAATCCAGTGGTTTTTCCTCACCTTTGGATTTGCCTTATTCACAGCTTTTACAGATGTATCTATAGCTGACTGAATATTCTTCCAGGCTTCTCCAGGGTGAGCACAGCTGTCGAACTCAGATATGTGTTTAGCTAGTTTTTCCTCAAATATGGATTTAGTTTCCTGATCGAGCTGAAGACGTGATGGTTTTACCGCCAGCTGTTTCCTACGTCCGTTCAGTCGTAAGCACACCCGAGCGCGGACCAGTGCATGGTCGGTATCTACACACGTGTTCCAGAAGGAGCGACAATCTCCTACCGACCCGCGCCAACGATAGCTTATTGCTATGTGGTCTATTTGTGTCCAGCGTTGGTTTGATGAAGGGGGTCTCCAAGTCAAACAGTGTCTCTCCTTGTGTTTGAAGTTAGTGCTTACAAGAAACAAATGATTATCAGAACAGAACTGTAGGAGACGGTCACCGTTGTCGGTTCGCTGGCACGGAACTCCATAGGTGCCACCGACATCCTTCTCAGATTGACACAATTTCCCTACTTGAGCATTAAAGTCACCAGCTAGAACGACTATGTCTGAGCGTTTAGCCTTTCGCACCAAACTAGACAGCTTTTGGTAGAACTCATCCTTCGTTTCATCTGAACTGCAGTCAGTGGGGGCGTAGGCGGAGATTACGAAAAGGCATCGGCGAGTAGTGCAGTCCTTTCTCCTTTTTACTGATCCGTTCAGACGGACAGCACACATTCGGCTATCTACCGGGATCCAGTCAAGCAATGTCTTTTCTGCCCTAGTACTCAAAGCTATCCCTACGCCAGCTAATCCTCGTGAACTGGCTGTGGCATCTCCTGACACCCTCAAGGTGAATTTTGCAGATTCATCCTGTTGGCCAGGTGGGGTTAGGTGAATAACCGCACTTGGGTCTTGTATGCGTGTTTCTGAAACACAACATACATCAATGGCTCGGGATGCCAGGGTCTTAACTAGTGATGCTTGTTGTCCTATTTGGCAAAGTGTCCTAACATTAAATGCTCCTATATGAAATTGGTGGCGTCGCTTTAGGAGACTATCGGTGGTGGTTTTTTGGCTTCCATCGTTTTTAGTGGACACAGAGTGAAGAGGTAGTGAGGAGCCATCAAGTAGAGGAGTTGCATCAGTAAGAGGAAGGCAAGATAAAAGAGATGAAGATGAAGACAAAGATAAGTGAGGATTAGAGAGGTTTTGTGTGCATTTCGGATTGTGAGGGCGTTTGTCACTTCCCGGCTGCCCACACCGTGGAAGTTGGTTGCGTGACCGCAGAGCCCAGGGGACAACTGCTTGAGGCCGATCACACACGGCCTGTCTTTTTGTTCTCTTTTGTTTGGTGTGTCTCAGTAGCAAACCTATCACTCCTGCCCTGTGACACGGCAGCAGGAAGCGCGGTCGTTGTTAATCCGGGCCACGGCCGATCCGGCATGAAATTTTGTGAATTTGTTTGAATCATGGTATTGGATGGGGTAGCTGCTTTTTGTTTAACCGCTATCCAAACAACCTGCCTGGCATGATAGAACCACAAGAGACATAAGCCTCAGCCAGTATAGCTTGAATAGGTCATTGCGGTGTTCAAGCCCGACCACCACGTCAAGGAAGCGGCTTTCAGTCGGGTTTCTACAATTCAGAATGATATGTGCAGAAAATATGAGCGAAGTTCGATATTAGTTCCCATAATAGTTACAGGCTTCATGATATTCAGATGTATCGCAAACTTTATAGTGTCCGGCGAAGTTTCCGCGGTCTGTATCGGCGTGAAATTTGTTCATTGGGTACGTGAGTGCTACAAAGTTGAATTCGATCAGTTCAAGATAAAAATTCCCAGTCCTGACCACCGGTGTGTTTGAACCAACCATATATGCACATAGGTGTGGATCTCAAACAAACAGTCCATTTCACACAATAGAAAATGTACCACAGTGGTCAGTGAACTGTGTTCTTTGGAATTTTCACTTCTGGCTACTGAATCCATTACTGTCGATTTGTTCAGATTATGATTCGCCGTAAGTGTGTTCTTGAATGCAATCTCCGATATTAATCGTCGTCGTCGTCGTCGATGTGAGGATGTTGTGAATTCAGGAACTTCGCCTACAGCCAGATCGTCGTTCACAACGCCTTATCACGAATGAACATGGAGAATGACACTCAGAGTACTTTTCCATACGAACAGTGAAAATCCGTATTCTATCCCAAGAGTAACCCGAATATCCCTCATAAACATGTGCACCACAAAAATACCATAAATACTTGTAAGTGTAGCTGATAAACTGTAAACAGGCAGGTAGTTGTGCAGAGGGCTACTCGTGTGTAATAATTCACTTAGTCGTCCTACTGGAGGTGTGGTGAATTTCGGCCACACAATCCACAACATCGCAGAAAATGTGATGAAACTATATGTGTGATTGCACTCTGTCAGAAATCTAGCTTGCGAAATCCGCGATTTTATTTGAGAATTGTTCGTTATTCTGCATATATTTCGCGAATTCGAATACTGAGAACTATCACTTTCTAATGTCTCTCTCTCAGTAGTATTCAGATTATTCACTACTGAGGCACCACGAATTCAAGCTCTGTTTTGTGTGACGACAATTTAGGCTAGGATTTATGTTCGATATGCCTTCTTGTAAGTCAGCATAACTGGAATATGCATGCAACCAGGCGACTACTATTCTTGTAGTTTCCAGTCACAGAAGACTGCATGAGATGGCGACGTTTTATCCCATAGAAGATACTATCAAAACTGGAGAGCACAGATATTCATAGAGTGATTCACCATATCAGTGAATTAGTGGTTCAATTTAAGAAATCCAAGTCTTTCCTGGCTGGCCTGTATCCATATTTATCCCTGACCGTGGAATGTCCTTCCAACAGTTTTCGAAGGAGAGTTGTAATAATAATTCGTTGATAGCGTTGCGAGAAAATAATGTCACTGCAAGAACTCAACACTATTTCCCCCTCCATTTAGTGTTTTCCTTATGAGAGTAACATCACAGCCTGTATGTGATGGAGAGACTCGTCGCGTGATTCGTGACAAGCGATTCAAGTTGGTCACATAATTCGTATGTGAATTCAATCTCTCGTCAATGAAGCTGGGAAATCAAGACAGAGAGAAAGAGAGGAATGGGAGACCAAAATTCGAGAAGAGGGATGCATTCTCTGAACACTGAAGTGCACAATGAGGAGAGGAAGTCAGGAAGACAGACTGTGTGCAGACTGACATCATCATCATCATGAATTACAAGTAAAGATAAAGTCAATGAAATATTATGTGAATATCTGGACTGAACAACTCATCGATTCACACAGACAAAACTACCCACTGACGGAATTCACAAATTTTGGCTTCCACCAGATAACCAGGTGTGTTGAGTCAGGCTGACCTGATGACATTACTGAAAATCACACAAAATCTACTGTCTCACAAACATAAAAGGCATGATATGTGTTAATTACTGTTATCATTGAGAAATATGCGTTATCATTATCGCGTCAGCAATTAGTTTTATTTGATTTTCACCTTTACAAACAAGATAGATGTTAAGAGAAGCCGATCACAGTCATTTGACTGGATGTGGTAGCCAAGTGATTGTGTTTCTGTCATCACATATTATCATTAGTATTGTCTCTATCTTTTTGTTATCGGAAAGTTGGGCTTCAGGTGCACGTCTCCACCGCGTTCGGTTCTCTGTCAACATTTCCAGTAGGCTTCCAGTCTACCCACAACTCATATCTCTTCTTCACATTGGAGTCTGTAGTTTGTTTGAGGTGCTCCTCATGACACGCCAAATCTCTGATCCATAAATTAGCACTGAATTCACATTCGAGTCGATAATCCGGATCTCATTATTCATCCTGAGTGCTGTCGATTTCCACACAGATTTGAGAGAAGTGAAAGCTTGACTTGCCTTCCCGATCCTTGATTTGATATACTCCTCATTTCTGTCCGCCAGTAGTTTGAACAATGCTTTTCAGGTCGGTTGGTAGACAGGTGAAGGAGGTCGCTTCTTTCAGGTTTCTCCCATTTATGCTGATTGTCGTCTGTTTTTGTTGCTGTTGCTGTTGGCCAGGAATCTTCATCATCTCTGTCTATTTTATGTTCACCTGGATTCCTGCCTTCCTTGTATGCTGCTTTTTACTTGTCATCTTCCAGTTTGTGAGAAATCAGAGAAATGTCATCGGCAAAGCCCACACCAACTTTTGTGTAGCTCCGTTTCTTTCCTGTGTCTATCCCGCCCACCACTGTTTG